TATACTATTATGAATCAATGACTCCCGTAACAGATCCTGTCGCCGATGCAGTGGGATACCGCAATGGAGACAAGAAGGTGGATCGTCATTTCGTTGTCAGCGTCGAGGAGGAACGAGTCGTCAGACTCACTACAGAGACTTATATTCGTGACCACTCCATCGAACACGTTCGTGTCCTAATGTCTAAGCCGACCACGTACTTTAGTACCTTTATTCTCAAACCGGTCGACGGTGATTTGATGTATGATATCGTCTTCCCCCTAGTGCATCGCATTCTATACACACACTACGGGACGGTCGCTCGGCACGGCGTCTGGCGCCTGGTCGTGTCACCGTCCTGTTTTGTCTCCAATGGAGAGGATTTCTCTGCCATGTTTTATCCTTGCAGTGCGATGCAGCGATGAGTACCATTCATTTTTTTTTTCCTATGTTTCGTCGTTGTTAGAGAGAGACAAAATGATGGTTCCAATGATTGTACATTTTTTGTATACATATGCAATCGTCATCTCCCATGTGTTTGTTATATGTTTTCGGTTTTTTTTTTTCGCGTGCTTTGCGTTTTAAAATTTGTTTTCGTTTTCGTTATGTGGAGGTATAGTACTAAGGTAATCGGTGCCTGTAATATTCTGTTTTGTAGATTTCTAAAAATTCACACATAAGCGACAAAACAATATTAACCCTTCCCCATACATGGACCGCCAACGCAGTCGTATTTGGAAATGAGACAGATACTGATCCTTTCCGCGACGAGGAGCTGGCAGTCGCCGAGATTAGGAGTCGGTGGTCGGGACCCGCAACGCTTTTGGAAGAGGCTGTGACTTTTGTTGGGTAAGAGGAGCATCTGCAACAGTGCATGAATCTGCTTATTGGTCGTGCAAATCTCGAACCAAAGCAGAATCATTACAATGGATATGTCGCTTTTTCTCGGCTGTGCGGGTTCGTCGTTTTCCGACAGAGATTGCCAGATGAGTTCCAAACGGCAATGCGGGAACGATGGCCAGCTACAATCATTTGAGGTTTTGAACTACGACAATGTGATCCTCCTGAAAACGCGCGCCCACGTCGACGTGCACGGCGGTAAATACTTCACGACACGATATATATATATATATATATATATATATATATATATATATATATATATATATATATATATATATATATATATATATATA